AATGGTTACGCTAAAGTGTGTCAAGGCATATCTCACCTTTTCTCCCCCGAAGTATGCATGTCCCGTCTGAAAGTACCCCGCCGGCTCTCCCCGACCCGTTCAGCGTCGTGTTAGCATGTCTTTATAACGGTCTTTGCGCTTCTCGCGAAAAATTGCCGTTATGCGAGCAAATAGAATTGTCTTACGGTGTATTCGCGAAGGATCCATTTGCATGTCTGCTGGGTAGTCGGTTTCCATTGCTAAAGACACCTCTTACATTGGTACTGCGAGATGGTAGACGTTTCAGACAAGCGGCTGGTTTCAATTCCAGGCATAGGTGTGTTTTTGTTAATAATGTGATGTGTGTGAGATTGTGGAATAATTTTTCTTATTTTTATAAGCGGAGTATATTATGAAGGCTTGGTGTGTTCGTTTTATGGACAATAATATCTACTGTATGTAGCTGAATTAAAAACTTGAACGTCATAGAGTTACGATGGATCTGATCTTTGACTCGCTTTGTGCGAGTTAAAAACGGGATACAATAAAATGCTCCAATGATGCAATGCTTTGATTAAACTGTCGCCGCGATAGCGCTTTGCGAAGTATTATTTCAAATGGTAAATTGAGTATGTTCTTTTATATCGTGCGTGTAATACGGACAAGTATTTAAATTAGAGTATGAAAGCTGTGGTTGATGTATTTTGTTAATTAAGAAATATTGTATTCTATGTTTCAGATTATATTATATATAAAATACGGAATTAAAATCTTTATTTCTCTTATAATTGAATATGACTCGGTCATTTAAACGTTCAGATGTTCTCCGTGCCCTTTTCGAAGCTGTGTTAATACGTCACGCCAAAATCTCGATCGAATTGACATCGATCACCGTTCTAACGCGGCATTTTTTGAATATCACGGCTGGAATTCGATGTATTAACGTAAATTAACCATGCACGCGGACGCTTTATGGCCAATATACGGCAGATCGTGATAGGAAAGACTGCAAAGTGTTGGCACGGTGCTCAATCGAGTGTGGAATATCGCGTGATCGATGGTTCCCCGGTTCGACGGTACCCGTGGATTATCTATTTTTGTTTTAGAACGCCCGTGCCCACGATAGCAGGACCTATTCGTAGAAATCATTCGAACGGAATTTCGGGGACAAGACCGCGGGATTATCATGTCCCGTTGGACGCGCAACACGCGAACTTCTGAAACCGTCACGCGGTTGAATAACTCATTTAAATGGTAAATTGAAATTTTCCCATTATACATTAACTTCTTGCGTTCCATTCGAGTTTAAACCGCGGGCGTACATTATTAACGTTGCACGCGATTACACACGTTATAAACTTGGCATTTTCAATCTCATAAAAGTTAGAATAAACTGGTTCCTTTTCATTTTACTTCCAATGATACAATTACAAAATACAATGAAAATATAATCACGAATCAATTCACGAGAACAATTACAGGAAACACGTAACGGGAATTCGATGTAAATACTTTTTTGTGTACATTAATCGAAATGTTTGTCAACTCATCATATTGGAATTATGAAATAAAACGGTGGTTTCAGTGGATTCCCCAAGAAAAGGTGAAAGCAAGAGGCAAAGCCCATTTAAACAAGTCGTCGCCGGAGCTCTGAGTCTATGCACATTCTTAAGTAACAACAAATTGGATCGTTGGCGAGGTCAAACAAGCGTATCCGTACTACTAATTACCTGGGGGATTGGGACAAACTTAACCGAGAGTGCTGCTGGTGTACAACTGAGGTGAAGGCAAACAATAGGGAACTTCCGCAACCCCTTCGCGTTTATATTCGCGATCCGGATCTTTCCTTAATCCTCATTGCTCCGGGAGGTTTCGGGAATCGGTCTAAGTCCACTATACTTTGGTAATTCTCGTTCAATTCGCCGATCGAGGTTACAAGTATATTGATTCGCGGCATGGAAGACCTCGCGATCGTCCAAATCGAAAATCACCGCGGCGTACTTTTACGAGTGGCTCCGGCAACAGAAACGATACGCTTCGAGACTGCCCCACGGTCGAATTATTAATGACGGAAGTCGCGACTATGAATGCACGTGTTGAGGGCGCGCTAAGACGGAAGAAGGTCGGAGGCTGTAGAGCCGGAATTAATTAATGGCAATCACCGAGAGTACTTAGCCTCGCGTTCGCGACCGCTAGGCGCTCGCTCAGTCGCCGGATCCTCTTTGGCCGATATCACGCGGCTTTCCTTTGAACCCGACGCATCCGTCGCTTTAACATTATTTTTTGGTGAAATATTCGTTGCAGTTAAACGTTGGCGCTCGTTTCCAGTGACGGCGCGCAGTCATCATTGAAAAACGAATGATTCGTGCGGTATCCTCTAAAAATTCGTTTCGTTTGATCATTTATATGTTGCGTTCAAAGTTATGTAGATGTATAAATATTTTGACGGTTTTCATTAGAAATTGCGAATGATTGATGCATCGATTTGTCGGTGATTTAATATCCATTTCTGTCGAGTGATGGAAGTAAAAGGTGAGAACTGGAAATGGCGACGGTTTCTTTTTGAACGCCTGACAATCAATACGTCCGCAACCATTTTTATTTTGATATAACGCGCGGGAGTATGAGTTAACAAATGAAAGAAAGAACGCAGAAGAGTGGAACAATCTCGTTACGAGCGCGTGTTCCTCTTTTTTCCCCTCTCCTCTCTCTATGGCGAAACTTTACGCTCTTGGTTAACGGCTCCACGTGGCACGGATTCACGGAGCAAAGGTAGAGGCAGAGGCGGCGCGCACGGCTTTAGAGAGCACTCGTAGAACGAGAAAAGTCTGTAGACGTGATGTCACTCTCTGTCTACGATGTAGTTAGGGATTTCGTGGTGGTTGGTCAAGGAGAGGGTGGATGAGGGCAGAATGACGTCACGTGCCTGCTGGCTGCGCTTGGAAGTACTGATGGCCTCGGGAACATTTCAAACATCCTAAACCATTTGCCGTGCCATAAAACAATGGAAAAATAATGGCAAGCTTTCGTCACTTATCGACATTTCGTGTGTTTTCTTTCTTTTCAGATGGTAAATATTTTTTATACGAAACAAGATTATACGATGACAATTAAATTGTAAGTTTTGAGATTTAATTGCGAATGTATGTTTGCTTGTTGATCTTATTTCAGGATTTTTAAGTGTAATACCAACATAACGGCATCAGGGAACCACTAAACAGTGGACGTTTCATGCAGATTTAAATGCAGAGTTTCAAATATTAACAGAGTGAAACATGTTGAATCTGCGTAGTGTAATTAAAGCATTGTTAACACCAGCAAATTTCTGCGGTATTATTCTTGTTGAATTTTGTGAAAATGTATGTTTAATTACGTCTCTCAATGTTGATAAAATTAATATTGTGGGTGTAGGAGGGATACGTCGTTATGAAATGCCATATCTTTCATAATTAAGGAATACGATATCATAGAAGTCCTTAATCTTAATAGATTTGACGTATATTTTTCGGGGAAATTGAGAACTGATAATATCTGAAGGAAAAGCAAGCTTTCTAAGTGTATCGCATAACTAAAATTATTTAATTATATTAAATGTACATATCCTTAGATAACATCTGTTTTCAAGACGCACTTAACAGTATCCTCGAATTGTGAGACAAAAGAAATGCGATACATTCGTCCGAAATCCTCCAATAACTATCCCTTTTAATTTGATTCGAACATATTTTCAGTTGTAGAATAACTATTACTCGATAAATCGTTCCGTTGCTCTACTTCCGCCCTCTTGCAGCGATTCGTTTCAATCAATTCACCCCTCTCCCGCTACAACATCATTTATCAAACATCGAACTCGTTTTATTTCCAATATTTACATCCAAAATATAACTCCAAATAAATTTCGGTGTAGATCCAATTGCAGAGGGAGAATCAAATGACTATCACCACTCAGAAATATAATCCCCATACAAACGTATAAAACATACTACCGAGAAAATCTTCACACGACAAAACAAAAAAACAAAATTTCCATAAAAATTACATCGGAATCCCTAACACTAGACCTACTAAATGAGTCAAAATGACCCATTATTTCCTGACACTTCCTTCGCAATTATGGAAAAGGTACAGACCATTTTCTGAGAAATTATTCAAAGAATTGATTTACATAAATATAAACTAGAATATAAAGAAATTGAACACTTAATAAAAATATTTTTATATATTTCATACGGAAATACAGAATAATCAATTTTACTCAGTAGTTCTAGTGTTAATCTGCAACACGTACTCATCGTCAATAATACGCGTCGAAAAATCAACCCTAAAACATGATTTCAACCAATACAGAAGTCAATTTCAAAATTACAAATCTCCATTACACGTGAACGCTCAAACCGTTTAGAAGCGTACAAACATTACGTCCAAAATAACGTGTACCTTCCTCTCAATTCAAAGCGAGTATTT